ATTATAATATTGAACATAGTTGATTTCGAGTATTTGCTGTATTTTTATATTGAAAAACCACTGTTTGAAATAATATGTCATCGCCAATTTAAACAAATAACGAAAGGAAAAACAAATCAATACAACACGATAAAACGCATACACTTTCTACATAATATACTACCATGTATGATTGCTACAGAAAAAAATATGTAGGTCTTACGATTTATTTAAAAGGAATATTCTAGTATTATATTTCCCCGTTCTTACGTTTGTTATTAGTCCCCAATAGTCGGGATAAAGGCAAACGAAAAGAAGGTGTAATTTTTAATTAAGAATAAATGAGTCGTTGACTGCAGAAAGGGGACAAAAGTCATTTTTTATGGGTCACCTCTAAAAATCCCCGGTGGTCACCCATCCAGGATCAAACATCAACGGACACAGCTTAACTTGAAGTGCTGCGTGATAGTTCGAGATGTCCACAGTGCCACAACAAGTCCCTAAAATACTATAAAATTATGTTTTCACATTAATTGACACCGTTTTAATTCTTGCTGTCACTTCAACGACGCTTTATCGTGCTAACGTACTTACTCTATTCTGGTTCATAATATACAGGGTGCCATGGAAAGTTCTACCGAGCTTCAAATGAGACATTTATGGTGCTCTATGGGCACAATAAATGGTATTTATTTTTTTAAAATGTTAAAATTATTTAAAATAGCCCGTATCTCATTAAAAAATGTTCTAACAAAAAAAAAATTTGCAGATTTGAAATCAAAAGAAAAAATCTTGTTGAACTGATATGTAGCATGATTTTTTGGTATCTGGTCACACATGCGTCCACAGGTTGGTCACTGAGCAGCCGGCATGTGATCAAAATCAACATATGGCACGCGACACATCATTTTGGGTTAAAATTTTATTCTCAATTCAGTGGTGGTATTAGAATTATTTTATATTCAATATTTAAGAAATTAGTATCAATTTTTTGGTAAAAATGTAATATTTATATAATAGGTTTGTTTCTAATTATTCTCTAGTGTCTAGTCTACTATGAAGAATTATTTTTTTTTAATTTTCAAGGCATCTCGAATTTGAAATTCAAACAACTTGAAATGATACCTTCTTAAAACATTTGTAATGTCAAATTATGTACATGCTTTTTAAATATAAAGATAAAATAGTTGTTTATTTATTTTGTAGGTTAATCAACCCTTGAATTCTTAAATATAAGTAGCCCATGATGACCAACGGTCATAAACCCTTCCACAATCAGATAGTTTTAGAACAAACTATAATTAGGCTTTGTTTGATTTCATAAATACATTTTTTTATTTTAAAATAAATTAATACGTTAGAAGTAAAATTTGTTATTGAATATTCTTGTAAAAGTTACTTACACCCTATTGGTTAGGTGTACTATTTAAATTTAATACATTGAAAAGTAATTAATACATCTACGAGTATAATAGGTGATGCATGATAAAATAAAGTATTTGCGACTTAAAAAATTGTTATTTCATAATTTAAAGTACCGAACAATATTCAACGGACAAACGTATTCAAATGTATTATACATTGTACACTGAACTTTGTTCAAGGTATCTATGGTATGTTTTTTCTTTTTTTATTTATTTATCATTTTAATAATAGAAAATTAAATTTGAAATGTTTAACACATTACAAATAATTAAACTAGACGATTGTCCTGACATAAATTTATTTTCAACTACTTACAATGAATTATAGTGTGTTTTAGTGTGTATGTATTAATACGACTAGTGGCCGAACTGAATAAAAAATAAATATAAGGATCGATGAAAGAGTTTTAAGAATAGTAGAACTTGATCCAAGTGTGAGTACGAGAGAAACAAGTGCTAGAGAAGATATACCGATATCGCGCAAGACGGTTCACAAAATTTTAAAAGATTATTACTTGTATCCGTTTCATTTGCAATTCGTCCAAACTCTGTACCCGGGTGACAATGAAAAACGTGTGGCTGCTCTTAGAGCATGAAAATGATCCGAATTTCCCTTTGTTTTTAATGACGTCAGATGAGTCAACATTTTCGAGAGATCCTATTCAAAATACAAAAAATAAACACGTATGGAAAACCGAAAATCCGCATGCAATTTTAACTCGAGGTAATCAATATTGATTTAGTGTTAATGTATGGTTGGGAATTTTATATGACTTTGCTATCGGTCCACATTTTTTCCCAAGCCGTCTTAACGGTGAAATGTATTCAAATTTTTTTACCGATGTACTTCCGTTAAGTTAATTTAAAAAAAAGTATTATAAATTAAAATTATTATAAAAACTAAATTAAGTATTTAACGCGTTCTTACGTCATAATTATTAAAAAACATTGAAATGTTTATTTTTATTAACATATTGAAATGTTGTATATATTTATTAAAAGGGGTTGGTACTAATTTTAAAATGACAAAATACTAATATGGTAAACAATTTACGTTATTACAGTCAATAATAATAAGTATAAAAAGTTATCGCAATGCCGGACTTAAAAACGCGCGTCAATTAAGTCCTATTCTATTTTTTTCAACAATTTTATAGAGATTCGTTAGATTTGTTTAAATTAACAATAAAAGATTATCCATGAGTATTATCCTATTCATATTTGGCTACTATATTTAAATTAAGAAAATTTAAACTAGTTTAATTTAATTTTGTTTAGACGGTGTTGATGAGATAATTATTATTATGGAAGTAATTACGTATAGCCTCCTCGGTCTGCAGATTTGAATCCTCTAGATTTTTACGTATGGGGATATATTAAATCGCTCGTTTATTCTGTAAATATAACTTCTATTGAACACTTAAAAGATCGCATAAGGGAAGCAGTTCAAATTGTAAATAATAATAAAGAGGCTCTAAGAGCGGTAGTAAAATCTTTGATTGAACGAACTCGAATATGTTTAACGAAAAGAGGGGGTATAATAGAAAATAACTTATAAATTGTGTTTAAAATAAAAATAAAATTTAATATTTGCAAAGATTGCCGACATTTTCATTTTGAAACACAATAATTTTCTTTTTTTTTCACTTTTTAAACTTATAAGCAAGTTAGATTTATATTATATGATGGTCTAAAGGGATGATTATTGATTAATGATGATTACTGTTCATGTCAATTACTAGTTATTATTTAGAATTCTTGTTACTACTATTTATCGTTTTATTCATCAAATAACACTTTTCAAGGCACATTTTTTTTTTTATATTTTGTTTTTTACGTTTTAACAAAAAAGGTAAAACTTTACTCTACATAAGTTATAGCGAATACTTGTTCTGTATTTGTTCTGATTTCGACTTAATATTACAGCTGTAATTAGTAATTACTATTCATTGCATATGTAATATTTAATAGTATAACTAAAAAAAAAATATACAACTAATATCAGCTGTAGTTATCAGGGGCGGACTGAGGCCCTGAAGGCCCAGGTGGGTATACATTTTAAAACTACCAAACAAGCGACTCATGTTAGTTGTTACAATTTTTATTTAAAATAAAATAACTTTTTAAGGAACTTATAACAAAATGAAAATAATTCTGTAGACTTATACTCAACTAAATTTAATATCATAAAATAAAACAAATTACTTCAATATTACAATTTTTAAACTTTATTATACAAATAAAATTAAAAAAAAATATATTTTTGATATAACTAAGTTCAACATACTAAAAAGAAACAAGTTACTTCAATATTAAAATCTTAAATCTTTTTCAATACCTACCTACAAATAAAATAAAAAATTTTCAAAAATAAATTTTATGATTTTAATTTAAATACGATTTTTAATAATAATTACTAATATTGTTTTAAAAACTGCTGAACTATCGTCAAGACTTTGAGATTTTGTGTTACTTTTATGTGCAATTTTTTTAAAAGTCTGATTAAAATATGATATAAACTGAAGAAACTCTTCTTTTAATGCGATTCCCGATTCGGCATTTGATTTAAGAGCAACGTAATTTAAATTATCGTCATTAATTAAATGAGGGCCTTTGGCGAATTCTTTAAAACGTTGTGTATTAAATGTGCCTAATACTTCATATATTTTTTCATTTTTTTCAAACATATTTATTAGAACATCGTAAATTCTTCGATGAGTATTTACTTTAAAATAGTCATGCGGTGAAATATTCCTGACATCGTCCAAAGCTTTCTCACCGGGAATTTTTTTAATTTAAACAAATGATTGGAATTCGGAAATCGGAATAGTAGTAAATATTAAATACAAAGAATTTGGAACATACTCATAGTTGACGATATTAGTTATTTATATTGGTCCGTGGTCGAATTATCGTAGACACGATTAATGATTTATAAAACATAGATAAGAAAAAGATTTCACGATGCCATGACGTATTGACGTGTATCTAACATCATAAATTCCAAAAATGAATCTAATAATAACTTTCATAGCCTTCGCGGCTGCAGTCGGACTGTTCCAGTTATTTTATTTTTATAAATAGTATTATTGTATTCTTCGTTTTCGCCGTAATGATTCGTTTCCGTGGAATTGAAAAATGATTAAAAATAATATATATAGCTCGAGGCCCAAACATAAAATTTCTAGAGGGCCTGGGCGGGTATGGCCACTGTAATGAACTGTAGAGTTCAATACAAACACTATCTTAACAGTATACGAAATATAGTAATTTAAATGATTTAGACTTTAGTAAAACAAATAAACTGCCAAGATAGATTTGATTCAATTTAATATAACACTTTTATAAACAGTACTTGCACGGGTAAAACAAGTAAGAGCAATTGAATACATACTCGCTGTTTCATTGGGGTTTTATAGTACAAGAATGCAAGCTAACATATCCTAATACTTGTGGTAAACAAGTATTAACAACGTCATTTACATAGAATTGAGTACAATGATAAAATGCTTAAATGCTAACTAAGTCTTACATCTTAATCAAAATCTACCCAAAACAACAGTAAGCAATAATGTTTTACACGTGCCATGGTCAATATTGTATCTCAAGGAGATCTGACCATTACATCCCCCCGATAAAATGAAAAACATATGTGGACGAAGTACCCAGATGTTTTTCGTACCAATAAGAATATAATATATGGATTATGTGAATATAATATGAGTATAATATGAATATAATATGAAATATAATGTATATAATAAGAAATATAATGGTTATATTTTATAAACGTGGATAAACCGAGTAAAAACGGTTTGGAATATGAAATGTAGCACGAGGCGTGTTAGAATTATGGTATGGTATTGCTACATTGCTGTTGAGATGTTCGTTCCGAACATTTTGAGGCTCATTATTAACAAACGAATGTTCAGTATGAACACACGGAGGTTCATTGCTAATATTATTTACACTAATACTTTCGTTAAGTACATTAATATTTTCATTGTTTACATTAACCGTTTCATTGTTTATGTTGAAATTACGACCAGTATGTCCTTCAACTGAACGCAAGGTTTCTCTTGTACTTACAACTTTTATGATAATGAATACAATAAAAATTAATATATTAATAATTAGTAATATAGTAAGAACAGACAAAAACAGACCATATGACTGTTCATGATTAGGTAATAACAGTTCTGTTTTGAGATTAGCCATATCGTTTAAATTATGGATATTAACATATTCTGTAACATGTGTAATTGGAAATTTATACAATGTTGAATTTATTAAGCTAGATATGTTAGTATTTGGAATAACATCTGTGAAAATGTTATCTTTAGAAATTGGGGAAGGAATAAGGATATCATTTTTCCCATATGCCTTACAGGACTCATTTAAAGAAAGAATACCTACCCCTTCTATTGAAAAAGATATTGATTCTTTAATATTGTCACACGTGAGAAACAACGTGTCAAATGGAGTTGTAAAAATCCATTGATTTTTATACTTTAATTTATGGAAAATAGAATATGATATGTTTAGGTATTGAATATTACAATTGGATGGGAAAATTCTAGTATTTTGGAATAATTGGACTTCACATGTAGGTTTCATATTTGTTGGATGTAAGGTTTGAATTTCAGGGCATAACAGGAAGGTTTTTGATACTTCGCAGTTTAACAAATCTAGATCCGAATAGCTCGTATAGTGCTTATTCGTCTTACTTATAGCTAGATATTTAAAATTTGGTTTAACATATACATAAGAAAAATTATTGTCTAATTTTACCGGTTTTGCTAGTACGGCAAACAGTGTTAGCTGTGTTTGGTATACCAACGGTAAATTAATTAGATGAACAATGTTATCATTGGCGTAATAAACTCTTATGTCCGATAACTGTAATAATTCGTTTATTTCAATCTCACTCAACCCTACTGGCAGTGGTAATTTGAATTAGAATTAATACAAACATACACAAAAATACCAACCCGGACCAGTTTTGGTGTTTGATTATTTAGTAGTAGTAATGCAAAAAAAAAAAATTTTTTTTTTTAGTAATAATTCAATTTTTTTTTTTTTTTTTGACAAAAGAAAAAGAAAACGTATATATATATTTTTTTTTTTCAGAGATTTATCGACTTTTTAGTCGTAAAATTTCTTTACATTATTTAAATGAATTCTTTTCTCGCGTCTACCCATTTTGATTGTGATATTATGATTACTATGTACTTCTAAAACTGGGAAAGGACCTAGCCAATTGTCCTCTAATGAATGTTTTTTTCTTATGATTTTTCATTAGAACTTTATCTCCTATCTCTATTGATTGTTCGCGCGCTGTTTTGTCGTAATTTAACTTATTCTTATTTTTTGATATAATAATGTTATCATACGCGATTTTGTGTGACTCTTGCATCTTACGTTTCAGATCCGTGACAAAATCGTCGTAACAATATTGTGGATCTGGGTTTCTATAGAAGGTTGACGGTATTACTGGCTTTTTCCCAAAAACTAATTCGAATGGGGCGTACCCCGAGGAAGAATGGATACTAGAATTATACCAATACGTCGCAAAACAAAGTAACTTGTCCCAATTTGAGTTATCTTTGTCGACATAACTACGTAAATAATTTTTAAGGGTACGGTGGCTACGTTCTAACTGACCGTTACTAGCGGGGTAGTACGCCGTGGTATTCAGCTTGTCAACCCCTAAAAGTTTGCAGGTTCTTTTGAAAACATCCGACATGAAGTTAGACCCCATGTCTGTCAGAATTGAGTTTGGGATACCGAAAGTACAGACAAAACATTCTACAAAAGCATTAGCTACTGTTGCAGCGTCGGTCTCTGCCAAGGCTACAGCAAGGGTGAATTTTGTAAGATCATCCTGCATGGATAAAATGTGAGAATTTCCCATGGCTGTTTTATTCATGGGTCCCACTATGTCTAAAGAAATTCTTTGAAATGCAATAGAAGATGTAGTTGTAATTAGCATCTTTTGTTTCCCCTTTAATAATTTTTTTGTTTTTTGACAAACTTCACATTTTTTTATAAATTCTTTTATGTCTGATTTCATGTTTTTCCATGTGTAAATTAATTGTAAACGATTTAATGTCCGCGAAATTCCCGCGTGCCCCCCAATTGGACTCAAATGATATTCTGAAATTAATTTAATTTTATCGTCCGTAGAAAAGAAATAATCTGAATGAATAAAAACGGTTATCTCGGTCGGTTTGAAAATGAAACGTATCATTGACCTTATACGTGTGTGTGTAGTGGCCGATGTTAGGCCGTCGATCGATAATGTGTGAAACGTTTTTATATTGTTTTGTACACAAAATTGCATTAGCTCGTTTAAAACTAAAAAAATTAATTCATCGTGTAAAGGTTTATTGTAAACGTCTTTGAAACCGATAAAAATAATATAACGATTATTTTGTAGAATTTTTTCTATGTTTGAGTGATCTTTGAACGCGGTCGGAATATTAATATTATTTGTTGATAAAAATTGCCTTATTATTTGGTTTGTAATTATGAGATCGCGGGCGATCGGTAACGCTACGTGTTCGGTAATTGGTATGCTTAATATGGGAGTTTCGCTGTCTATAATATTTTTATTGTGGATAACGGTATTCTGCTCAGCGTGTACAAAGTCGACGAAATGGTCGTTCGTTTTTGCTGTGTTACTGATGGTCATTATTCTCGATAACCCGTCTGCTACACAGTTTTGTGTGCCTGGCTTATAAATTATTTTATAATTGTATTCCGACAGTGAAAGCCTCCAGCGAACTAACTGGGAGGTTGGGTCTTTAATTCCAAAAAGCCAGGTAAGCGGCTTGTGATCTGTTATAATGGTGAATTTCCTGCCGTATAGGTAGGGTTTAAAGTTGCTAACAGCCCAAATAATAGATAATAATTCGCGATGTATCACGCTGTAATTTTGTTCGGACTTATTTAGTGTACGCGACGCGAATGCTATCGGTAAGTAATCGCCTTGTGTTTTTTCCTGTGCTAACACGCATCCGATGGCAAATTGGCTTGCATCACAACTTAGAAAAAATTCTTTTTCCCAATCTGGGTATTGAAGTAAGGGTGCGGTTGTTAGACTACGTTTTAGATCGTTAAAGGATTTATCACATATGTCTGACCATACATACGGGACATTTTTTTTTAAAAGGTTAGTCAAGGGCTTTGCGATCTTTGCAAAATTTTCGATATGTCTACGATAGAAATTTGCAATCCCTAAAAACGACTTTAGGGCTTTCGCGTGACGCGGAATAGGGTATTCGGCGATACATTGAATTTTTCCTGGATTTGGAGCTACCCCTTTTTCTGAAATAATGTGACCCAGGTATGAAACTTCTCGTGATAAGAATTGACATTTGTACGGTTGTAATTTTAATTTGTGTTCTACAAGCCTTTGAAATACTTTTTCTAATTTTGAGTTATGGTTTTCGATATCGGTCCCTATTACGATTAAATCATCCATATATGCCATTGCTCCATATTCTAACCCTGATAGGACTATTTTCATAGCCTTTGAAAACGTTTGTGGGGCTGAGGATAACCCAAATGGTAGTTTTGTAAATTCGTATTTTTGTCCCCGACATGAGAAGGACGTTTTTGGTATGTCTTCCTCATGTACTTTTATTTGATAAAATCCCTGTGCGAAATCAAGGGTAGTAAAATAACGAGAACTCCCTAGATTATCTAGAATTTCGGTAATGTTAGGGAGTGGAAAGGCTAAATTTTCTGTGAATTCATTAAGTTTCCGGAAATCTACACAAATTCGAAGTTTTTGTTCTCCCGTCCGGTCTGCCTTTTTTTTTATCGCGATGATTGGAAAATTCCAGGGTGAGTTTGAATCGCGAATAATATTGTTTCTTTTCATTTCGACTATTTGTTTATCTATTTCGGCTTGAAACGCCTGTGGAAGGCGGTACGGTTTTAAGTTTATTGGTTTCGTGAGATTGGGAGTGGGGATTTTATGAGTAATTACGTCTGTTGCTTGTAATATATCGCCCTCAAGAAAGAAAACTTCCGAGTATTTAAAACAGATATCGAGTAATTTTTCCCGTTCGTCGTCAAGTAGATGATCTGTTATAATAAGCTTGGCGAGCGCTTCTAACCTACTGGCCCCACTTAATTTTTCCCTGATAGACATGATATTACTTGAGTCATCATATTGGTCTGGTGTAGTACTATCATTTACCTTGTTATTATCGTACGGCCCCCAGATTAAATTATTCATTTCAATATTTTCTACGAAAGCCGGTTGTTCGCCTATGTTTATAATATTTGCTACCGTGTGTTGCCCTTTGATTGGACTTACGCTATTTGCGATAATTACATCGTCGCTTAACTCTATTTTTTCAATGTAAATGTTATCAGCCTGAATTGGCTTTTCTACTTTAATACATACTAGGCAGTTAGAGCGCTGTGGAATAATTAAATGTGACGAGTTAAGTTCTTCTGTACCCGTAGGAATAATTAATAAGTCGCGATTTAAATCAATAATGGCTTTGTTTTTTTTTAAAAATGAATTACCCAGAATGCCATCTTGTCTTATTTTAAAATCGTTATCTACTACATTGAACTTTATTTTTAAGGTACTGTTATTAATCAGAATGTCTAAAATTGCTGTTCCGATTGTGCTTACGCGCGTTGCCGATATTCCCTGTAGTTGCCGTTTTTCATCTTCGTTTATGATAAGATCGTCTTTTAGCGAGTCTATTTTAATAATGTTCATTTGCGCGCCACTATCTATCAAAAATTTAGCTGATGCATTAATAAAAGAATTAGATTTACATATTATATGTTCGTCTATTATTTCTGTAACTACTCGCACGTTATTTTTAATTTCCTGTACTGATCGGTTTGAGCCCGAGGTGCCTTCGTCACCATTATCGTTCGAATTATCATTTTTCTTTTTTTCGTTAAAAATGCGTTTCCTGCAGAATTTAATTTCGTGGTTAGGCTTCTTACAATAAGCACACGTTTTTATGTTATCTTTATTTTCCCGTTTAATATTTGTACTCCTATTATACGCTGGGTTAGTAAATTTTGGTAAGTTCTCTTCTTTTGTCCTACATTCTCCTTGGACGTGACCTTCACGGTTGCATCGATAGCAGCGGATATTCTTTTTATCCCAATCATTATCTTTAGAATTTTTTGTATACTTATTATTGTTATTTTTATATTTATTTTCGCCGTTATTGTAAAAATTGCGCGGCTCAACACTTTTTTCTTCTTCTACAGCAATGGAAATGGCCCCTTCCAGAGTTGTAGGATTACGCGCTTTTAAAATAATTCTTAAATTTGAATTTATGCCATTTATAAAAACTGAAAGCGCATGAGATTTTATTGTTTCTGCTATCGCGTTTCTTTCTATGCTCGTTTTATCTATAGTAGATGCTTGTATTAATTTTTGATATGTTTCCTCGACTCGAGAAAAATAAGTTTGCGCGCTTTCTTTATACCCTTGCCTTAATGAACTGAGTTGCGCTTGTAAGAATGTGATGGAATGAGTAGCGCCAAAATTTTCGCGCAATATTTTAAGAAGATCATTAAGTGTTTTAACATCACGGTACCTAATAACTTCGAAAGCTCTACC